AAAAAAAAAAAAAATTTTAAACGTAAACCACTTATTGGTGACAATTTATTAAACTTTTCTAACACTTATTGTTTATTAAATTTTCACAGAATTTATGCACACATATAACAATTAATTCATAAAAATCCCAAATGCAAGAAACAACTAATTCACACAAAAAAAAAAAAAAAAAAACATCATTTATTGATTTCAGCTTTCAATAATTATCTAGACATGTACACCACAAGCACATGAGGAATTGAAAGAGGAGGTGGAGTCGATTTATGTTTGTGAAAAACACACGGTTGGGTCCAAAAACTTTTATATAATTGAAAGATATCAAAGGTGGAGGTCCACATTGCAGCGGAAGATTTGGTGCACGTTGGTGGAATCTAAACAAAAGCCATGGACCAGTAAGTGAATCCCCACAGATTTAATGCAAAGGAAAGGTGCCGCCCTACATATTACGGTGTGGGGGTTCCTTCAATAGGGGTCAGCTTTCCTCGTGTCGGCATTTTGGCCTGTTTGGGTCCACTGATTCTCATCTAAGTTGTAAGATTTGTCATTTTACCAGTACTCATGTCATGACAATCTACACAGCTTGGAAACTCTCTTGTTTTTTGCTCCAGATTAGCTTTAAAACTGACCCTAGTGTCCAGTTTCGGAATATTTTTAATTTTTTATTAGGTCGGCATGGATTCATGGGCTATATTCAGTACATTATTTTCTTGGATCAGTCCAAATAAGTTTATTTACATTAAACCTAGCAAATGTATATGAAATTACCTTATCGTAACCTGTTAACAAATTAAAACCTAGACAAAAAGAAAAAAAAGGAAAAAAGGATATACTCTTTTTGTTTTTTTGGGTATATAGGAGGCCAAGGTTAAGAAAACTTGGCGATGGGAAATTTGCAAGTACTGGGATCAAACCCCAGCCTTGCTGGAAATCATCTCTAAACCTCTCAGGTATAGAGAAGCACACTGTCACACTGTTTACCACTTGAATTAATCATCCATCGTTCTAGGTTACTGCCTTTTTTTCCTTTGTTTTCTGCTACAAATTGAACAGGTCTGTATTTAGGATAAAAAGGGCATCAGAGAGCAGTTCAGCACCGACTCGCTAAAAAAAAGTACAAAGAAACAGAACCAGGCTTTGATAAACTGTAAAAGGGACCAAAGTGTTTGTGTTGGTGACAACAAGAACAGAGGCTTTGATATCAAAGTATTGAATATGATTAAAGAATTAATATAATAAGCACACAATTTGCATCGTGTGTTTTTGTTGCAGCCGACACAATTGAAATATTCTACTTAAGTTTCTTCATACATGAGAAGATATATTGTCTTTTCAAGCTCTTTCCTGTAAGTTGCTTGCTTGCTTCTTATGAGCAAAAGAACGTGCTCGTCTCATGAACTTTTCAGCACGCGTTTACTTCTGCTGAAATTGATCAGAAACTTCAAGACAGGCACTCAATTTATTTACAGAATTCTAAGTCAATAATGGCTTCAACTAGTTCTTTCTTTAAAAGTTTTTTTTTTTTGGATATATATATTTATATTTGGTGATATGGTTAGGGTATTTTCGGGATCCTAATCTCCTCTTCCGATAATTTTAAAGATTCACTTCTCTACATCGGCTTTAGTATATTCAAGATTTTATCCTAAAATGTTTTCCAAAAGAACCTAATGCTAGTTGATAAAGAAAAGGAACTCCTTACCAAATAGACTACTCTACATCAAACCTTTAAGTGCATTTAGCTTGACAGGAAAAGGGTTAACCTGATTTATGTTTCAATTTGGTATCAAAGTGATTTGAAATTCAATCAAATATGAATATGTTTGTTCATTATTCTGCACATCATTTTTGTTCCCAATTTTACCTTTTCCAAGTTAGACAATTTGAGTAACTTCAATAACTTGCCTGACAAACATATTAGAAGACTATTAGCATAAACAAATAAACAAGCAAAAAACATGTCAATGCTTTCTGCAATAAATTTGATTCACTGTCGAAACACGTATCCAATCTTAGAACCAGACACGAATCAGAATCTTCACGTATCAGCAATGCTGAATGGTCCATATCATATAGAAATTATTATACAGTCAAAGCTTGGCTGATGACAGCCTGCCAATTCCAATTTATAAGCATTTAATATTCAACTCCATTGATGAGTCATCTCAATGATCATCCAACCTGGAAATTTTTAGTGGATCAAAATTCTGCAATATGGACCTAAATCATGGTCCCATATTTGTTATGCATCGCTATCCCTGTTGGGGTGTTTTGGAATAGAAGGGTTCCAAGGCACCACAAACATGCAAAAGCTGAATCAGATACAGCTTTGATTATGCCAATGGTCATTTTTGGCAGACGCTGCCCACAAGTTTTAACTAACCCTTGTAACATTTTTAGTCCCTGTTGCTATCGATGCATTGCATCAGCAATAATGACATACCAGTGTGATCAATGCCATGACCCAAGACAGCATAACAGCTCAAAAATTTGTACCAAAAGTTGTTGGATTCCTTAAAGTCATAAAAGAAACTCTTTGTACATTTAAAGCCATGGGTTTTACATGTGGATGTGAGCAACTGTAAAAAGAGGTAAAATACAACATAGCTCACCAAATATGAATGTATTTTTAAAAGGGCCACTTAATTATTAAAATTTTTAATTTAATCATTAAAATTTTTGAGTAAATATTTTTGTTATTTAACCATTAATCTTTAACGATATATTGACATGTAATGCTATATCAATTATTAAGTGTCACATGATATTATTACATCATCAACAATATACATCAACAATGTCACATTATATTACTGAAATTGTATTATAACTTTTGAAAAAAATAAATTTGGCTGACGCAATAATATCATTGGCATCTGATTACTGACTTGGTATTACCATATCAGTACACCATTGGAGAAAAATTGTTGGTAAAAAAATATTTACTCAAATTTTATTGATTAAATCGAAAATTTTAATAGTTTAATGATAATTTTAAACATACAATTGAATGACCAAAGGTGTAATTTACCTTTTTCTATTTCAATTTTTCATTTTTTTTTTCTTTTGTTTCTTTTGGGAACTAAAATAGGAGGAGAATGCAGAGAGGGATCAGAGAAATATGGAAGATAACCGGACAAAGAAAAATAGATTGTCTAGAATTCTACTTTAAATTCAAACCATAGAAGATGGAACCTGGAAAAAGGCCATGCCGGTAAGATGAATTGATTCACCTTTGCTAGAAAAAAAATGGAAAAAAAAAAGAGATTTTCCATAAGAGAGTCTATCAAATATCAGGCGTTGGATGGCATATGTATAACTATAGCAGAACAAGAATAATAATGATGAAACAGCTTTTCAATGCGCACGGGTGAGGCTGAAATGCCCATCTTGCGTCAATTGAGCATGCAATGGAGATTATTCAGACCAGAGGACAAGGTGGGCTCATCCCTCCGAGGGTAAATGGCTAGTGTCCCATAATTTGTACCCATGTTTCACATCTAGTTCCTTTTACGGCTTCATCTTATTTGCTCAAAAGCATAGAGTTCCTCATGAATCTACTATTTTCTTAATATTGTTGTTAACTGCCAGCTTTGTTTAACCATGAAAATTCAGAGCATGTCTCTAAAAAAGTTATAATCAAGATGAAATTATAGTACCTCTCATGAAATTTTTTAGAATTTAGTTCAATCTACTGCTCAAGGCTTGTTAGGCAAGAAGATAAAAAAAAAAAAAGAAAAAAAATTTGTTAATATAATGATTAAGTTACTAAGCAACAAAGGATTTTTTTTTTTTTTGTTTTTGGTTACATTATAAAGGAACAAAATAATTATGAATTAACAAATTTTATATCTTTAATTCTTTTCATCTTTCCTATGAAACAAAAACATAATGATGATATGCTGTATAATGAAAACTAGCCTAGATACTATTAAGATGAGATAAATAAAGCTAATGCAAACTACATGAAAAGCACAAGGATCAAAGTTATAGACTAAAGATTAAGCCTTCAATTATCTCCTTAATGTTAAAAAGTTTAGTTCTTGATAGGGTGGGAAAAGACAGAAACCAGAGAAGCAGTTTGCTTTAACAATCCCAAAGTATTAAAGAATTTCTTATTCCCTCATAAACTGAAACTAATCCAGATACATTAATGGAGGCTCCAATGCATAGGAAAATTATAAAGTTTTACTAATCCTGTGGATCTTTCCTAAAAGAATTAGGTCAAACAACTAAAGATCAAAGCAAGAAAATGGTAAAAACAGCATGGTTTGGATTTTGGAGAATCTCAATTAACTACAAACAGGCCAGGTCAAATGAGTGTTTTTTATTTTTTTTTCGTTGCTATCAGAGAGATTAATTGAATTACTAAGGATTGAATATTTTGCTTGTAAAAATATATGATTCGATTTTTATTATCAATGATAAATTTTTTTAATGAGTAATTTGTAAATTTAATATATATTTTCTCAACATATTCTGACCTTTAAACGAAATAATTTTTCCCACTTACACTATTCTTTACCTAAAAAAACAGGTTTTCGTTAGTTAGAATGGCCGACAGAGATGTATAAATAAGACTAGTAATTAAAAATGCTTAGCTTTTTAATTAATTTCTTTTCTTGTTTGAATTTTAACCATGAATGATTCAGGGGCTGACCTGACCCACACATATGACAGCCCACATGAAACGACCCCCAATCCATTAGGCAAAATTGAAAAACCCTGCCAAATTCTAGCCCCACATGGCCATGGTGTGCCCGTACACAGCCCAAGATGGATCCTTTTCACATGGGGAGGCTGGCTAGCTTTTCCCTTCATTTATAGAAAAACCAACGCCCCTGATTTCACTCCTACAACCCACAAACCCATCTCGACCCTTCCACTGAAGCCTCAAGTCTTCCATATGGGCGGCTGAGCTTGTCCCACCCTTGTCTCCCTATCCAGGGGCAGCTAGCCTCAAAGTTGCTGCTATTGCTACCGACAGCTGAGCTTTCTTTTGGCAATAATTCATGCATCGAGAGAATAACAAGGCTTCCTCATTACTCTTAATCCACCATGACTAGCATCATATCCTATAAAATACTTGCTTTTGCAACCCTATTTCAACCATAAACTCAGAAACAAATTTTGATTTTTCTCAAACATTGTGCATCCTCAAAGGAACTGTGACTTTCCCAAAATCAGAACTTGAAAAAAATCAGCTTGCATTTATCTCTACATTGAACAAGAAGGAACTTTGGGTTTGCTATACTAGCTGCTTTGGTATATCATTTTGAGAGTGAAGCTCTTTGAAAAATGGAAGGTAGTGTGGCATATGAGAATGATCTAAACCTCGAGGCAACTGAACTAAGATTAGGGTTACCCGGAACAGATGAAAGAGAGGAACAAACAGTTTCCAATGTTAGAAACAACAAGCGACCATTGCAGGTGGCTGATGAGGAATGTGGAGCAAATGGCAAATCTAATACTCAAAATGAAACTGCCCCTCATGCCAAGTAAGTTATTATAACAAGTTACAAACAAAATTTGCCTTTAGCAGATGATCTTCTTTTGCTATTTGATTTCCTGTAAAATTAGATGGAAACTAATGGATCCTTTTGATGCATATATATGCAACATGCAGAGCACAAATTGTGGGGTGGCCACCAATCCGGTCCTATAGAAAGAATAACTTTCAGCCAAAGAAAAGTGAGTGTGAGGGTCCTGGGATCTACGTGAAAGTAAGCATGGATGGAGCAGCATACCTAAGAAAGATTGACCTGAAAGTTTACACTGGGTACCCGGAGCTCCTGCGGGCTTTAGAGAACATGTTCAAGTTCACCTTAGGTAAGAAAATGGAATATTATGTTGTTATTTTGTTGTTATGACATAAATGACCTTGGATTTGGGTAAAATGACCTTGGATTTCAACTTCTTTCAGGTGAGTACTCAGACAGAGAAGGCTACAAAGGATCAGATTATGCACCAACTTATGAAGACAAGGATGGAGACTGGATGCTAGTTGGAGATGTTCCCTGGGAGTAAGTCTCTCCCTTTTCTGTTTTTTTTTTTTTAATTTTAAGTCTACAGAATTTGAACTTGAAACTGACCGCTCGGCACTCGATCAATATGACACGGCTGTTGCCTACCTTTTCCTAGTTGCTATTTATCCTAGATATACATCTTCTGAAACTTACAAGGTTATCTAATTTTGTTACAGAATGTTCATCACATCATGCAACAGACTAAGAATCATGAAAGGATCAGAAGCCAGGGGCTTAGGTTGTGGTGTATGAGAAAATTGTCTCTACCAACAACAACACATCCAAGAGCAAGGAAAAAACAGAAGATCCATCTTTCTCATGGAGAGAAAAATCTTTCAGCTTGGGTTCTCGAAGGAGATTTTTGGATCTGATTCTCAGTCTCCTCCGTAGGTAGTCTGGTCAGAAAATTCGACCGACTAGGAGAGTTTAGAAATAAAACAGAAAATATAAAGGAGGAGTTCACATTTTCTTTGCTCAGAAGTTTGGCTGCAGCAAACATATTTGGTGGTTTGAGCATCTGTTACTGTGTTTTGCTATTTTACTCATCAAACCAAAACTAGATACAAGAATCTGTTGCTTCATGTGCTACTTTGTAAAAAAAAAAAATTGAAGAAAAAAGGTCACAAACAAGTTTTGGCTTGTAATATGAAGAAACAAAGTTGTATTTCAGCTGTGTGTCTCTGTACAATTACATTTACATATATGAAATGTATTTCTCCAGAATTCAAGCATCACAACAGGGGATATTTGTTATAAATTAAATCCTTTCCCATATATATATAAGTTGCCTTGCACTAAATTCACTGGACACCTTTGCTTAATTTGCAGGACTAGGAGCTCTAAGAAACTCAAACTTGATTTTTCTTTATAACCAAGGCAGAATATATATTGAGTGTAAGTAAAGAACACATTTATGTAAGGAAAATAGGAACTGAAGTTAGAGTAACAGTTCAATATTGATCTAAAATTGGTCTCTGGTATTGATTTTAAGAAATATGCATCAGTGTATGTCACCCTACAAATCTTGACAGTAATTTCACTGGCAGTGAATGTGATCATTTCTCAAACTTAAGGTAGTCAGGGCCTCAAGTAAGGTCACTGACTCACTTCTAGGTCTGGAGAAATACTTCATGTTCAAACTTCTTTTTTGTGATATGTTCAAACTTTACTTTGGATCTATTGATCTTGCTTTTCTAGTACTATTTTTTTTATTTTAATTTTCCTGGCAGAAGGTCTTAAGTGCAGATGAACCTGGGAAAATCCAATTGGAAGAGTAAGAAGCATTCAGCAAGCATTGCCTACATATCCATAAAAAATTTCTAATATTTGTAACATTGCAGTTTCTTTGATCTTCACCGAATTGATAAATGCATGAATACAAGTATATAGGACAGAATTCTATTTTACTCAAACGTTGCTTTCCATAGAAAAGGTCAAATTATTTTTTAAAAAGGAAAAAAAAGTTAAAATATTCCTAACAATACCAAACAGCCTATCATAAGTTTGTATTCAACAAAAGATTATGACCGTCACTGATTTGATAAATACCCAAGATTACAGACAAAAAGGCCAGAAAATACATGTAACTGAAATGTTGTTTCCCGAAGAAAAGGTCAATAAAACTAGAGTCTTGAAACAACGAAATAGGATGACATGTCAAAACATGTCATTCAAAGCCTTTCAACAGGGACCTTTATGATACTAGGATTTTGGGATTTTTTGTTCAAACTTCAAACTAAAATGCAAAAGATCTAAATCTTTACCGCCCAAAGTTGAAAATTGTATTGGGAACAGTGAGATCTACAGGACTGAACATGTCACAAGAAGCAAAACTGCACGTTCCAGTGGAGGAAAAAAGTCTGGTTATAATCTTAACTGTCAGGATTCTTTTCTTTTTGTTTTCAATACGTAATCTTCCTCTCATTTCTCTAATAAGTCAGTGGAGTTCAGGTGCAGGCATTGAATTTAATGATGTCTTTATGTTAGAAAGAAAAGCGAAGTGACACTAAATAATGTAAAAAAAAAAAATCTATCAGTTTGTTACTATGTCATCCAGCCATATAATCACAAATTACATATGATTTTACTGATTTGAATGTTGGAGTGCATATGCGAACTCGATCCACTACCCTCTGACCATATTCTCTTAATAGGTCTGGTAAGCTTATCAGCTCAACCTCTAAACAATCTCTGCACCCATCAACTCAGAATTACATCATCAGTCTTATATCTATCAAATGGAAAATTTTCACCGGAGGTGAAAATGATGATTGGTTACGATTACTTAACATAATCTACAAATGGAAGGAATAATCTATTTGATATTCCCTTTTACGCATCGGAGAACGGTTTGTTGGTAACGAAAAAGCAATAGCATTAAGCTGTCCTTTTCTCGAGAACAGCTTTCTAGGATATGGATGCCTAAAATATCTTTCCTAACCTATATGCCATGGCTAGTGGTATTTTTAAACTAATAATATCTTTTGTTATGAAAATCTTATCCAGCTATGAGAAAATTTTTGGGACTTTGTAAACATTGTTCCTACCTAATTCTTTTGGCAAAAGGGTGTTCGAGAGTAAGGGTAAGAAAAAAAATTAAAAATTTTAAAAATTGATTTGAAATTATTTAGTTCGATTTTGTTTGAATTAATTTTTTTATTTGATTCAGATCAATTTTAAATATTAAATACATATATTAGATTTGAATCAAAATTTTAAATCAAGAGATAAAAAATTTTTAAAAAAATGAATCGAACCAAATTATATATATATTTTAATTTATATATATGTATATTAAATTTTTATAAAATAAAAATAATAATTTTATATCAAAATCTATTTAAATATATTAATAATTAAAAATTAAAAATCGATAAATTGAATCGAACCTATAAAATTTGGTTAAATTTTGTTTGAATCGAATGAGTTTAAATTCAAATTTAGATTAAATTTTAAAATATTATACAATATTTAAAAAAATTAAAATCGAATCCGATCAAAATCAAATCGTTATCACCTCTATTTGAGAGCCCGGCACCATACTATATCTGATTATAAGCTATTTTAATATTGATTTAGTTGTGTCTTGGATGATTTAAAGAGTGCATTTTTTATATTCGTGTAATGTATTTAAAATTTTATTTTCGAAATATTTTTTATAAGAATTAATGATGTCTTAAATGATGTAATAAATTTAATGCTTTTTACATTTTTTAATTCCTTGAGAATAATATATTTTTCTTTGGTTCCTAGAGAGCATAGATTCTAACAAAGAAATTAATTGCTTGATTGAAAATAAGAAAATGAGATAAAATATCAATTCTTTTTTTTTTTTTATATGGTTATCTTTAAAATGAGATATTCAGTAGTCTGTGATAAAATTTCAACACTTATAATTTTTTTTTTTGATCTTCAAACACGTGACATTTTTTTGTGTAAAAAAATGAAATTTAAAAATTTTCAACCACTGCTAACTAGACAGGATTTCTCAAATTCAAACAGCCTAAACTTCTGATAATTCTTTACTGCAATTCAAGTCTGAAACCTGAAATGGAGCACATGACATGTTCGATAATTGTTCATATGTATGTTACTAAAACAAATGTTTAGTAACATTTATGTTGCCAGTCATTACCCAACCGCACTACCCATAGACTATGTAACAAAGTCATTGCCTCACCTTGCCATATCACAGATTCCATGTGCGGTTCAAAGGAAGGGATGGCAGCCAAGCATGGTTTGATTAGGTGGTGCACTTAATATATGGGAGAAACATGGACATTAAAGCAGTTGCTTAGATTTTATCATTCCACAACTAAGGTTAGGACATGTGTTCTTATGCATAAACCACGCATTTGTCACATGGGCATTGATATTGGCTGCTCCATGCCATGCCAAGAACAATGCAAGGCCTACAGCACAGGACTCAGACAGCCAGCCACGTCAGTGGGAATTTTGGTTAAGAATTTTTTGTAAGCAGGATGCTTTCAGATGGAATCGTATGCCTACATTTACATGCATTTTGATGTTTTTGTACCCGCTATTTCATCTCCTCTTGATATTGTATCTATCTGTTTGCTGTGGTTAAAAGTCAGATGGATATCATGGAATATAAGGGAGAACTTGAAACTGATTTAAAGTTACCAAAGTTTTCATACCATTATGAAATCAAACAGAGACAAGGGTACTCTAAGATGTCGAGAAAAAGAAAATAACAATGCTGATAGTATTTTATGATACTCAAACTGACACCTTCAGCCAATTATTTTTTATAAACGAGATTGCAATTTGGAATAGGAAAATGGGTTGCAAGCATTGAAATTTGAATCCTAACACTTAGTAAATGTCATTTTTTATAACTGAAATAAGTTTCTATTTCTAAGCCAGTTATTCTTTGTACCTACATAATATCACCTTTTCCTCGCAATCTGCTCCTTTAGGACTATACTAGTCAAAATTGCAGAACACCAGACCCAAAAAGTTTTTTCCCCACTAGATATTAACTTTTGGGACAAAATTAGTGGCGCTTCCAACTTGGCCACAACTTTACAGTGCTTTGCCTCAAAAAGTAACGAGTCTGAAGTACAACTTGGTAGCAGAAAATAAGCATTTCCATGCAGATAAATTTCCAAGAGATGTCATAAAGCTTACTGGTGCATCCATGAACTGTGTTTTCTTTGGCACCTGGATAGCGGATACTTGAATATTTGGCATCATGTTATACATTCCTGAATTGTTTTCATTCTGATTTATAAGACCAAAAAAATGTGAAGGATGTACTAGATTCTCACAGGCAGGAAAAATGCTGATGGAGCAGTTGACAATGTCCAATAATAACCAAAAAGGGTGATCTATTGCCAAAAGACTAACAATCTTTCTTCTTACAAATTTCTTTTGATCAGCCATTTCCCAAAATGTTAAATGAGCACACATCAGAAAACCAGAAAAGCATGGTACGGCGATACTTTTTTGAGTCTCTTAAAAATCCCAAGAGTATCATTTTTTCACTGATCAAATTTAAGGTAAAGTATATTCTTTCGGACTCAAAATGCAAAGGATCTCCTGTGACAAATTCATGATAACACACCCCAAAACTCAATCCAGCTGGAAGTTCTATTCTTCCTAATCATTGCTCTCATTCTAGAAACACCATCTCCAGCAATTTCAGCTAATTGTACATTGCAATGGACCCTACAAGCAGCAAGGAAAGCTCCCCAAACAACTGCACTAGGTATAATTGGCATGTTTCTTACAAGGTTATATGCCTCTTCAAGGCTCGCAGCTCGACCGTGAAGGTCAACAACACATGCATAGTGTTTTTCTGAGGGTTGAATTCTATATTCTTCCAGCATATGCTTAAAGTACCTCCTGCCCTCACTAACAAGTCCCTCAGGCATTGTTACAACCTGTCAAAACCCCGAAGAATTTTCAACTAATAAAATCATGCAAGGCTGTTGTTTAATGAGAAAGGAAAGATGGATATCAAGAGAGAATCATCAGCATGTTCTTTCATTGATTTCTTGAACACCGAAGAATTTTAGTCCTCGTTCAACCAATCCCTAATATTGAATCTAAAATAATTCAAATATGTATTGTAATTGAACATGAGAATCCATCAATCAAGATTTCCTTATAGTTTTGAGTTAATTTGTCTAAATCAAAGTGTCTGAATGTGATGGTTTCCAAGATTAAAGTCCTCAAGTGAAATGAGAACCTTCTGACAGCCCCAAATCAATGGCATCCCAACTAAACTGGTTGTCCCTCTCGAGCAACTTTGGGACTATGGTCTTCCAGCAATCCACTCACCACCGCAATTAACCTTTCGAGTAACTATATAAAATGCACAGAAGTTCTGTCAAATTTTGGTAAGTTACAACGGCCCTGTAAGTAAACAAGTGCCTATTTTCAGTTCTCCACATTACAGCCAGCATAACAAACAGCACAGTCATCGTGCAGACCTTCTTCATCTTGCAGTTTATAACTCTAACCTCAAATATATTCTCATTCTATTGACAGTTGTTGCCGAATTGCTTGAAACTATTCACTTTAATAGTATACATGCTGTGAAAGTGGAGAAGATCAATCAATCATAAGCATCAGATTAGGAGCTTAAATCAGATAAAATAACAGACCAGCCAATATTCATCAGTCACGTCACTATCACCAATCAGGGAAAATAGCACAAAGGAAAGAGCTGAGACCTGGTTCCATTATGTGGTTCAGGGCACCCAGTTTGTTACACACGGCCAAGAAGCCTTTTCATGATTGAGATGGATCACTCTCTGATTCCCTATCAGTTGATTCTTCAACATTGTCATTGTTGCTGTCACCAGATAGTGATTGATTAGTACTTTGGCCAGAAACAACAACTAAAGCATGGCTCTGAACGGGAGTATCTGTTTGTTTTGCTGAATTATCTTCATGAGGTGTATCAACTGAAGCCAGATATGAAATGCCATACTTCTGCCCATGAGTTAGTCCTGGACAAAGGCCCTGTGAAATAAAGAACAAATTTTCTAAGAGAATGAAAAGACATCAATGTGCTCCTCATGAAAATGGAGGAGTTATTGCCAAAAACAGCCTCAAACAGCTGTTCCTTGTTTATTCTGCTATTTCACCATAAGAAAGAGTACATTAAAGTGATGATGCTATAACTAGAAATAACTAAATTCCTACCAGGGAGATCTGAAATAGCCTTTCTATTTAGTGATAACCTGTAAATGAAAATCATTACGTAGACACCGAGTACAGGCATTTATCAATCTTTTAGTAATATTTCATCACATAAGATTACCATCAACACAGTGGAAAACAAACAAAATACAAAGTAGAGGAATAAAAGTCATTAAGGTTTACCTAAATATGATTCAGAAAATATTTCAAAACTAACCTTAATCAGCCCTGATACAGGAGATGCCTCAAGATAAGAAGAATCCAATGGAAATCCAGTCCGATTCCAAACCTCAGAAACTCTACCACCATTAGTTTCATGAGAATCAGCAGACTTGTCTGATGCATGAGGCTCTTCTTTAAAGTCACCCCGGTTACAATAAGCCCCGAAATATGAACAATGCTCTCGCAATAGAGATATTTGAGGAGTTGCAGGCAATAAATGGCCCTCAGTGTTAAATATGTACCTATAAATGGAAATTTTCCACAAAAAATGAAAAATAAGAAACTATTGCTTATTTCATATTATAAAATTTTTTTAAGAAAAAACCTAGGAAACAGAAATCTTACTTGTATGGTCCATTTTCAACAAGGTTGTCGGGACCCACAGCCAAATCGAAAAGGAGCCACAAATATTTCACCTAATCATGTTGAGAGGTTATAGACAAGATTATACTGTAAATGACGAGGTTATAAACAAGATTATACTGTAAATGACAAGACAACAAGATGAGAACACCAAAAAATATCCAGGGAGGGAGAAGCTGGCAGACAGGTCAAATTGGACTTAAGCTCAAACTAAACGAAATCTTAAAATCTAGTGTTGTCGTCCATATATATAAAGGTGCATTTAGGGAAACATGGAATAGCTAAAATACACAAATTATTACTTACTGTTTCTGCCAGGAAAAAGCTCTCCATGTGATCCTCCCTCTTGTGAAACTCGACATCTGATATATGACAATAACCACAAGGGCATCTTGCCCCGTATTGCAAGCTAGCAACCATGTCTCGTCCAGCATCCAGATATCTACAGTGGAAAATATTTGTGAACATTTAATTAGCAAGAGTGGAGAAATAGAACAGAAGTTGTTCATGTTAACAATAACAGAACAGATAACTGGAAAACATCTAATAGGAGCAGGAAGAGCTTTGCACTCTCATCAACAACAATTCTTTGTCTAACAAAATAGCTTACATAGCAAGTCTGTTTTATTTTCTCACATTCATTTAATGCAATATCTTAAATCACAGCTGTTAAATGTCATAATAGGCATCAGCTTTTATTCCTCTCACTTTTTCTCTTTTTCTATGTATTAAGTTTCAGCAAGTTTGTCTTCTAATAAAATTTATCTTCAGATAAGGGTATTTCTTCGCTATTTAATGCTCAAATGAATTGCTTCTACAAATCGGAGAGAAAGCAAGCTATGCCAGCATTTTTGTAATCCTGAAACAATAAAGCCTTTCAGAAACAATATCAACTGGTTGGATAAATGAGAGTTTTTTTATAAATGAATATATTTAATTTAATGTGTAAACAGAGTGACACCTTTTCATCCTTTAGAATTACTCCAGTTATAGAAAGAAACTGATAAAGTTTAGATGTTGCAATATTACCATCTCCAAATAACTATATGTTAAAAGATGTAGCAAACTTGAGTTAAAAAAAAAAAGTAGAAAAGAAACTTAAATAAAAGTCAATTGATTGACCTGGGATCTCTGGTAGCTTTGTAGAGCCAATATGTGCTTTCTATTAACTCTGGACGCAAAGGGTAACTCTTTTGCCCATGCTGCCAAAGAAACATGATATAAGTGTGACAAATGTTTAAATGAGAAAAAAAAAAGAAGAGAAAAGTTATCAGGTAGATCTTAATTGTGAACCATCATAGAGCAAATGTGCAAATTTTGTTAAAAAAAAAAGTGTACTTCGGTATCAGGGCGTATTTGGTGTTATTAAGGTACACATAGGAAATAAGTAAACTTCTAATTTGAAATGCTGAGTGAAAATGGTAAGAGTAGTTCAATATTATGATTCAGATACCTGAACACTAAGTGTAGCAAGATTAAAACCCTCAGGAGTGAAACCATATCTTTTCCAGACACTGAAGAAAGCAGTATGCGTTTGAATAGCAGGATCAATATCCCCCGCTAAAACCTTCCAAAAAAGGTAAACCTCTGATTACCAAATATTGAATTATATATCTTATGGTTCTATCAAAAAAAATTATATCTAATAACCTGAAGCCCGGGCCAAAATGCCTGTAAACTGTTAAATAACGGCCAGACAATAGCAGCAGAATCCATATTGACCTCTACATACCTAAGGAAATAAATAAAAATTAAACAAAGAGAGAGAGATGATAAAGTAAAACACATAATGCAGGGAAATTGTGAAATGACAAAGGTATAATAAAATAAGGGAAAAGAAACATATATTAAGGTGGTGCTCAACAGCAGAAGTTTTTACCAAGGGTCATTGTAAAGATAGTGCATAGCAGCACTATATGCTTCTTGGAAAATGAACAAATACTCTTCATCTCCAAACAACAAATATGCCTGAAAAGATATCAAGAAAGGAAAAAACAATATCCTCTCTATTACTAAATTGTGATCACAAAATTACGAGGTACAAGAATTTCAAGTCATGTGACAGACCTTCAGAAGATACTCATAGAAGGAGTCAATGCTTGTCCCTATTCCAGCATCCTGCAATGCAGCATAGAATCAATTGCAGCTAGCCAGATATAGATTGGCTTAAATTGTTCCTTCACGTTGTAGATCGTAGTAACAGAAGGGCCAACAAAGATCGGTCCAATTGAGTGACAGGTTAATGAGTTAAACTGCAGTTGAGTTCCTAGTTTAGCTGTATATTCTTAATTATGTGCATTTTTCTTATTCGATGTCTGCATATCAGCAAGGCAATTTGCAAGGGAAATACAACCTATGAAAATATTAACTCTAAACTTGTCCTTTTGAAAATGAAAAAGAAAGGTTTCACAAAAGAATTAGAAGATAGGACAATAAACTTATAAAAGAATAGATAAAGACCACATCAAAAAGGTTCAAAACTGACCAACTTTCATCTAGAAAAGACTTCCTTCATACATATTGAAAAAATGACTCAATAGAAGCATCAGCAACAAAAGATTTAATCCTTTTCCATCCATTTAACAACTAAATAATATTAAGAACATCCTGAAATAGTTATTAAAAAAACAGAAAATTGCAAGGCCCTTGATTATGCGGTCATAGTAAAAAAGCATGTTACCTTCTGTGTCCATTCACCAGTAAAAACATTGATATGAGCACCGACTAAGTTAAGCTTTGAGCGGCGAGCCCACAGGCCCCGAACAGCATTCTTTGTAACTTGCTCAAAAACTGCATCCATTTTAAGAAATAAACCTATTTCAGCAATGAAAGTGAAAGCTAACAGTCATTACAATTGGTAATGGTAAGTAAAAGTCTCATAGGCCTTCTGATAGAAGTTTGCAAAGTCTAGACTACCAAGTTTTGAATTAAGCATCTCCTAGTCATTTTGGCAGCCCTGTCAATTGGTTATACTAAGATTCCAAGCAAACCAATCCAGATTTTCCCTTCAGTTTTCTTGTCTGTTAGTATTTCCATAGTCTTCCCTTCCATATTTTGTGCCTTTCAGTTATGAACAATTAGAACCATATTTTTTTTATGGACTAAATTTAAACAGCAAATGTGATTACTGGGGTCTCTAGTTTTTTCCATAGTAAATATACTTGTGCACCATGGAAAACAATGGAACCCTGACCTATTCTTCCATCTATTCTCATAGCAAGAGCAAATGACATTAGGATCCTGGACTATTAACCTTAAGTTCTGAATATATTGGCTTCGCAGGTCAGGGTTGACCCAAGGCTCCATCAAAAGTTGCAAGGCTTCTTTACGATTCAGCAATATAAAATTTCCAGCTAATAGAGCTTGGACAAGGAAAGGGGAAAATGGTCTAATTTCATAATAGTCATAGCAAGTTAGCAACAGCAAGCACTGTATTGAAATCCACGGTTACAAAAGGATTCTTTAATTTCTAGAATCCAGGAAAGCAACTACAGTCTACAAAAATTTCAACTAAGCATCAAATTATCATTTATAATAACAGCAAAACCAATTCTTTAACTGTGCAAGTAGAAAAATAATTCAATAAACCTAAAATGCTTGCAAGGGAACATGCAAGCCAAAAGCAATATTCACTCAATGCATGATATGATGTAGGACTATGAAAGGTCCTAGAACTCTTGCTACCTGGACTTAAAATGTGGCTCATAGCCCTGGTAAACCAAGGGCTCCCCAGCAAGGCTATCAGTAACAGGCAAGCAGGAGAGCCAAAGCTTGCTATTTATACATTTTGTAGCATACAAACTTCCAGAGAATGCTACAAATGAAATATAGGGGCAGAAACGCTTACTAGGATCATTTGTCAAACGGCTTAGCACTCCAAATTCAAGGGTCAAAGTCCCACCACCAGCTGTTGATGTTATCTAAGCAGACCAAAATTGCAAGTTTGAATAACCTATATAATATAATATACATGAAAACTGCAAACATAGAGGACCCATAAGTAACTGGGCTTTACTATAGATTACTATGTGAACAACATCAATTCACTTTAATACCTTCATCTTCATCCATTTGAAATTTCATACAGCAACTATGAACATCACTAAGTACTAATAACATTGTACTTTAGGGTGTGGGACAAGGAGAATTAGCACAAGCTATGTTCAGGGTGACACAAGCAAAAACTAGTTAAATAAATCATCACATAGGAGATGATAGAGGCATTGCCTTGCTTTCATGTTCATCAACTCCATGCTTTAAATTAACAGATCCAAATGGGATTCCTGCAATACATCATAGCTGAAGATAGTCATGATAAGATACCACACCTATTACCAGCCAGCTTTCCCGTTACTGTATCTTAATGGAAAAATGTTCCAGGAGTGATACCTGTAGGAGTGTCAAATGCAGGTAATAATCTCCTGGCCAAATCTTCAGCTAAGTCAAGTAATTGATTGTCATAGGAAGGAATTCTCATGCCCTGAAATCGAAATGACCCAGATGTTTATTCTACAAGAATGAAATATGATTAGAAAAGATTGATGGAGGTGGACAAGTCCATATTACCGTAGCATAGTCACTTGCAATAAGATGAGCAGAAAGCAGACCTCCAAGGACCCTGATGGTGGTCTCAAAAATGGAAACTGTTTTATTCTGCAGAATAAAAGTAAACTACAAAGTTTAAAATTAACTACTAATTGATTGGATGATAACAGTGATTTGGAGGGAGAAAAAGACCATGAAGTAAGGATGAGGAAATGTCAAGTTAATATAAACCACTACACTGTGACAGTCATATTGTAAGAACAACATAGAGAAAAAATATTTACAGTCTTTTTGGAGTCCCATGAAGATATATAATTTTATAGAATTCACAAGACAATTTTGACAATGGAAGTAACCATCATGATAAAAGAACTTTATGAAGGCTTTCAAATTTATTATATCTCCTCAATCATGGAAATCAGACAGGTTGTCTCTTTAATTGCTAAACATATGACAAAAGCAGCCTTACATGTTAGGTTTGCCAAGGAGAAATTTCATTTTGCAGGAAAAGTATATGGGCATTGAAAAAGAATGGTAGACACTTCTTGCGGATATAAAAAGTTTGAAAATGGAAATCAACAACAATAATCTATTACCATAGTGGAATGTAAACTAACTGCCATGTATGTTGCATTTAAGTCCTAAGATAAAAAACCAGAAGTATGATAACTTTTATCACTTTACAAAAGATCAAGCTTCTATTGCACCAGTCTTAAGAGTTATCAAGTAGCTCTTTAAATCAGAGCTTGAGCTCTAAACCAAGGATATAGAATTTCACCTTCAACCCTATAAAAGTCCATACTAAGGTTTCCATACTAAAAACAAACCCAATGCGATAAGCACAAAAGATTGATGCAAAAAATATTTCACTCACTATATCAAACCGAAGATTTTTACCAATCCATTCAACAGAGGTAGTAAAGCGTTCTCGGTCTCCAAGTAAAGCCAGTGTGTCTAAAGAATCAATCTGCAACAGCAGCATAGAAGCAACATCCAAAAACAGTTCAATACACAATCTCAGTCTCATATAATTTTTGAAAAAAGAGATAAGGATTGTACCAGCGTCAAGGCATAACCACCAAGCGTATCTTCTCCTTCACACGATAGAGGTCTCAACTCATCAAGTGGAAATGCATGTTCCATATATCCATCAAAAGCATGATAGAACATTTCGCGCACCTAGAGCACCCAAGTGCAAAAAAATAAATGCCATCACATGAACGGCTAATGCATCCCATCTACTCCCATTTAGTTATAACGATAATTTTAATTTAAAGGTTAAACTTTGACTTCAGCTTTCTTTTAACAGCATATAAAAAAAAAAAAATCAAGCATGTAGATACAATGTGAACTAATATGGCATCTGTTTCTCATTCTTTTTAATGCTTTTTGCCCAAATAGGTTTTCAAATTTTGCCTTAAAATCTATTCTCATCATCAAAGAAGCCTCAAATACTCAATTATCAATCAACAAACCAATCAAACACTGTAAAAATCTCAATCAGCAAAGACTCCGGTAGTAATAAGAAGTTGAAAAGTCAATTCGAAGAATCCTAATTACATCCATATAAAAAGCAAAAACCCTGAATTCAAAAGATAAATTAAAGATAAAAAGAAAAAAAAATGTTTTACCTCATCTCTGAGCTGCTTAGCTTCCTTGGGAGTGACGCCTTCTGCGACTGCTTTGTGCAAAGAAAACAACAAAAGAAATAACAGAAACTGAACAACCAAGTTCAAAGCTTTCATTCTTTTATTAGATTAGATTTCTCTCTTTCTTTGTTAAGATCTCGATCTTAACATCGGCTTTTGTTCGGATTCTTTTATGATTTTCCTTTTTTTTTTTTCGGAGCTATTGTGTTCTTCAATCTAAACACTGGAACTAAACTCTGTCTGCGCTTCTCTGGCTGGCTGGGTTTTTTAGTCTAATGAAAAGGGTGAATGACCAAAAAGATAATCGCAGAAAAGAAAATAATAAAATCAGTAGGTTTTTCTTTGAATTGCTTTTGACTTTTTTTCAAGAATGATTTATTTTCTTCTACCAGTGGCAATATTTTGGAGAAGTTTATTAGTAAATTAATACTAATTAAAACAGCATTGTAGGTTAAGTGGAATTCAACTATTTATTTAAAAAAAAAAAGAAATTCAACTATATTTAAAATTAAAAAAGACTAACAAGATATACATAATTAATGCCTAATGGTTATTGTTTTTTTATCACAATTACGAGTAATGTTAAATAACTCCATAATTTTCATAAATAACAAGCTATTTTCATAAAAACTAGTAAAATATAAAATATTAAAAGATTTTTAGTATTATATTATAGAATTTTTTTAATTAAAATTAAATAAAAATATTTTTATTAATATAATATTTTAAATAAAATCAAATTAAGCTAAATCTTAAAATTCATGTCCAAAACCTGATTTCAAAAGAACTATACTCACCAAAATCTCATTTAAAAAAAAAAAACTATATTCATAAACGTGATAAATAGTGATACCCAACCCCCCTTTGTCCAAAATTATCTTTCAAAAAAAAAAATTAATAAAAATATCATCGTTTATCATTAAATCAATTTTGTTAACTAATTAAAATAACCTTAATTTTATCACAATTGCCAAGGTTTTATTATTGCCAAGGTTTTATTAAGTTTTCGTTAGGGAAACAATTTGCATCTGACAAATCTTAATCTGACTTGAATTTTTAGAATTAATTTTATTTTTAAAATTCAATATCGAATCTATTCTGATCATGTGATAGAAGAAAAAAAATCAAAATTGAATCGAATCTGATCGAATGATAAATAAATTTGATCCTATCCAATTCGATATATATAAAAAATTATTTTTTAATTAATTAATTTTATATTTTATTAAAAAATAATATTTTATATCAAAAAATTAATATTTTATTAATTTTAAATCGAATCAAATATGATTTCATATATCGAATCCGATCATATTCAAATATTAAAAAAAATAAAAAAATCAAATTCAAATATTATATGTATATAACCAACATGTTCAATGAAGCAAAAACCTACCCCGCTTTCATCCATATTTTTCACTTTAACCTTACTTTATTAGAAATTTATTTTCTTTTAGTTCCATATATAATATATATATATATATATAGTATTTTACATGGAGAACTTTTAATATATTTCTTTTTCTTCACACACCAGAAACGTAATTTTCCATATTTTCAAGGGCTCAAATCTAGCCTCCTTTAGCCGTTTCCAATTTATCATTGTTGTAATGAAAGGAAAATATCTAAAGAAAGCATTGACACCTTACAATTAAATCCAAACCAATAAAAAAAATTAAAATTCAGTGAAACCAAAATTAAAACTATCCTTAAACTTGAGGTAATCACATAATACTACAACAAAAAAAAAAAGTTGTTGAATTTCAATGGAGGCAACCCTGCCCCCATAATAAATCCGTCTCTTAACACCAATTGGTTATCATGGTTCATACCAAAGCCGAGTTCACTTCATGCCTGCAAAAACGAAAGAGAATGTGGTACAGCCTGACACGTCCAAAGACTCTAGCAAGAAATAATTGCAAATTGTTCATAGTATCTCGAGGGCTCTTTTTTTATTTTTATTTTTTTTCCTTTTGAAAATTGGCAATCTCATTTTAATGTTTCATGTACAATATCTGTGGATAGATTTGATGCCCCTCGTCCCCCAACTCCTTCCCCTTGGTCCATATAGGTTGCATTTTCAGTAGAAGTGCCGAGAGATGGACATCAGATAGGTTAAAGATGATTTCAGCTCACAAGACCTTGAGAATGATGGAAGATGGACACAAACAACGAGCAGAACCAATTTCCCAGCATATATAATGTAGAACTAACAATAATAAATGAAAAGTAGAATTGTACCATCCATAACCGTTAAGACCATCTCTATTACCAAGACATTAGGGATTTTCAGATGTTAGTAAGAGCACCCATGAACCTTGGCAGCGTAACAGATAGCATGTGGCAAAATGAAATACCAAAAAACATGTAAGTATTAAGTCTTAGTCACGATCAACAAACCTGTTGTTTTCTCTTTTTTGGTCTCCTCTTTCTACGTGGTTTGCGAGCATCAGAATTGGAACTTAAATTACTACTGTTTCCTGTCTTTGAATTTGAGGATCCCCCCACCTTAAAGGAAGAACCACTTCTGCTGTTTGATGTGTTGCTAGATGTGGACATTTCAGCTCTTTGTATGGATGAATTTCGGCTAGATGAAGATCCAAACCTTGATTTTGCAAGTGCTGAATTTGAAAAAGAATTAGTTGATGGCCTGGGAGGCGGCATTAAAGCTCTGGCAGACACCTGTCTCTGTTATAAGTTGTGGCAACCAAAAGTAAAATGAAAGGAGAAGATGTCAAAAAGTTATAATCAATTATTTTCATAAAAATGCAACTATTCAAGTAGAAACTAAACCTGATTCCTTTCATCACTAGACATGCCGGATGCTGCTTTGCCAGAAGCACTAGAAGCCTGTTCCCTGTACACAAATGCCAGGAAGTTTAACTGCACTTTTCAACATAAAAAAAGAAGTGGAATAAAGATTCCTCGCCTGTTCAACTACAAAGAGCTTGCAGTAAAAGGCCAAAGCTATGGTTCTGCTAACCACAGAGTCAACAGGGACTGAGTCTGTGACTCTGCGTTCATGTGAAAAGAAGTTTTAAAGGCAGTTTTATCATTCTATCTATAACTTATCCTGGTTCTAAATATGACCCAAAAAATCAAAGAGGGAACAAAAATGCGATCAACTAGATAATAGATAACACTTCTTATCAAGAAAAGAAGCAAAGTCCACTTAAGCGGGTTCAACTCACAGATACAATATGTACCTGGTACTTTTATCAGTCCATTCATCATCAGCATCAGCTTCATCACTTGAGGTTCCGGTCAAAAAGAAATCATCATCACTCAAATCCAACAGCCCATCATCTTCACTCCCTGTCTCTGTTAGGAGAAATCCAAACAGAAGACATCATCCTTCCGAACATGACAATATAAGTTAATAAAAACAACTTAAGCAGGTAAAATAACATGCATTAAGAGAAAAAAACATGATACACCCATAACTTGTTACATGGTCTTGAGCTACAAACATGCTCAAAAGAATTCTACAAAGTCCAAGGTACTGTGCAAACATTACTTAGAAAAGTTTTCTTTGCTGCATTTTACCTTAATGTGAGTTGCAGTGCAATTCATAATGAAAAGGCCTTAATTCTTAAAAAGCTAAACTACACTATATCATGTAATCAACAAAAATAAGTCACTTCATATAGCATTATATTGCTAGCTATGGCAAAGGAAGAATGTACCTTCCAAATCTTTCCCACTGGCAGCAGCAGCAACTAAGTTGGCTTTTATCTGTTTCCGCAATCTATTTCTCCTATCAACTATGTCCGATTCATCACCTCCCGTAAATAATGATACGTATTTCTCAGTCTTGGGAAAAAACTGCATTTGAAAATAAAATATAAAACATCGCCCTATTATGACTGTGAAAAAACCATCAAATTTTCATTGATAAGAACACAAATTTACAAAGAATTAAATATGCTACAAGCATACCCTAACATATTCAAGATCCTCTTTCAATTTAGAAAGTTGTTCAGTAATCTCCGCATCTTGTGTCTGACCGGATGAAGCACGTTGCAGCTTCTCCAACCGCCTTATTCTCCTTTCTATCTTCCTTCTCTCTTCAATAACAATTAAGAAAATTACAAATTACTGATTCATTTCAAAATGAATGAAATTCTATAACCATTAAAAAGATAATAATAATTCTTTGTTTTTACCAAAAAACTTAATCTTTCTGTCCCGCAAGAATATTTTTCGTTCCACGGCGAGTCGGGTATGGATTTCTTGTTGTTTCTTAAGCCCTTCTAACTTCTTTTCTTGAGCCTCTCTAACTTCAGGCGGAAGATCCTAATTATATATATAAGAGAAATAAATGAAATTCAGAGAATTTCTTATACAAATTAACAAATCTAAAATGAAAATTAAAAAAAAAAGGAGAAAATGCAGATGATGAATACCTTTCGCAGGACGCGTTCAATGGAGCGTATCTGGTTCTTGAGAGAAACGGCTTTTGGCTTTGGTTTCTTATCTACGCCAGGTCCCTTTGATCGCCGACCAACGCGCTTCCCCTCCGCCACGCGCCGCTTACCGTAGCCACCGTGAGCCATGTCCTTTTTTCTTTTTTTTTTTTGCTTTTTTTGTCACTGTCCCTATAGAGATGACGAGCTTGGGGTTTTCGTTTTCTTGTTTTTAACTTCTTTTTTATTAAAAATAAAATAAAATTTTTGGTTATAAAATTGTCGGGTATTCGTTTTGTTCTTGCCCTAGCAAGGTCACCCTGGCCTTTGTTGGGCCACTTAACATTTGAATTGAATCTTTAATTGAACATTGGGCCTAATCCATGGCTGAGGATTGCTGAAGTCTGAAACCAAACATGGGCTCAAGTTCAAACCCATAGCAAACCAACCTTAAAAACAAATAAAATTTAAACACAATAACAATTATCACAATTTTTCTTATGAATAATTATGAACTATAGCTGGTAGACCAAAAATTACATCAAGTCAATTAAATTAACAAAAATTAGACTGACTTTGTTTTTTTTTTTTTTGTTTCAAAGAAGGGCAAAACCTTATTACAAGAGGAAAGAGAGGAGGTTCGATTCAAAACCAAGCCTTTATATCTTCTTAAAGGCTTATGTGGCCACTAGGCCACGAAGCAAAAGATAGACTAACTTTATTTCAAGTTTATGTGCTTCGTTCCCTTAATAGAAACTAGACAATGCATAAACAATATCCACCATGTTAGGCTTTTTTGTAGAATCTTGGTTTAAACAAGCAATGGCAACTGTCATTGCCCTCATCACACTCTCTACTAAGTAAACTCCTCTAGTAGATGTCCATCGATCCATTCCCTCACTTTTATCATCTTTCTTCCCTCATTCCTATCCAAAATTCCATTAACACATGCCCACAAAAGCTTTTCTTGTTCATCAATGGCTTCCTTGCTTGATAAAAGCTCAAGCAAAACTTCTCTAAAAGAGAAAACATCCATCTTTGTTGAGACCACCCCATTTGCT